TTTTATTCTTTACGCAGTGTGCGTGCTTTTACATTGCTTCCCAATAAATGTTGTTACATACTGCACTTAGAAGCGCTTTTTTCTTCCTTATCTTCACACAGAGCCTGCTACAGCTACAAGAGCTTTCCCTAGTGCTATATTGACTCATTTCCACTATATGTCATTTATGACATTGGACTTTATGAACTTTTATCTTGTGCCCCTTGCCAATTGGATTTGGGGATCTGTATGCGCTGATTTTCTCTGTTTTTAGTGGGTTTTTTTTTTTTTTGTTTATGTAGCAGAATACATTTTGGCCTAAATTTATGACGAAGTTTGATTTCTTTTAAAAAAAAAAAAAAAAAAAAATTACTGGACATGTTTAATAGCAAAAAGTCAAAAATATTGTTTTTTTTTTTTCTCAAAATTCTTTTTATTTTATTTTTTTTTAATAGCATAAAAAATAAAACCCGCACAGGCGATGAAATACCACCAAAACAAAGTTCAGTTCATGGGGGGAAAAAAAGGACATAAATTTCATATGGGTGCAGAGTTGCATAACTGTGCAATTGTCAGTTAAATTAATGCAAAAAACGGCCTGATCAGGAAGGGAGGTAAATCCTCAGGAGGGCAAGTGGTTAACTTTAAAAAAAAAAAAAAAAAATGTTCGTAAAGGGCGCCATGAGAAACGGGACTGTTGTGGAGGGCTGAACTTCATTCTGCCCAATATTAATTGTAGACCTGGGAAGTTCTGCAATAGGTAAATGTATAAAAACAACAAACAGCTGGCCCTAGGAATAATATGTAAGTGCCCATGAAATAGTGAAATAGTTCTCTTTCAGGTGGGCTGTCAGGGTTGGTATAAATGAGCCTCTGGGTCCCCTGGCCACTTACCCGAACTGTAAAATAACAGCCAGATGCGGTTGTTCACATGCCACAGCTGCAATTCTTTGCTTCACGGTTGTGGAGATTTTTACACAGGGTGCAGAGTTTGAGAAGCGCCACTTACCCTTACTGCTGACACCAAAAAAGCTTGTGATACTAAGCTCAAAGTAAATGTGTGTACAATAGTGCAGTGCTATATCACATATTTAGTAACAGTGTTAAACTATAATATGAAATAACCTTGTGCAAATATCTTCAAAATAAATATAGGATAATTAGTAAAAGAAACATATACACAAAAATTAATAGTGTCCAGAAAAATAAAAGCTCAAAAAAGGAAATCTATAAAAACAAAAGTCCCAGAAATCCAGAAAAGAAATGTCTAAAGTGCAGTATTGCCTGTTATGGTCACCAGCATAAGGAAAGTATCCAACAAAAATATGAATCCTCTAGCAATCCCACTGTGGAGCAAACCCAGTGTTCAGACCAGTTCCAGTGGATAAAGGCAAGAGAAATCCGTTGCTTACCAGATGTCCATGACCATCACTATCAAAGCAAATGGTTAAAATGGTGCTTTTAGGGTTAATATGGCTAACCCTTAGCTGATGGATCACCACTGCTCCGGACAAACAGCCACGATGACACAGATAAAAGGAAGGAAGCAATACCATAGTGTAAAAACAAGTTAAAAATTTATTGACCAGAAAACATTTGTACAACATCTGAGGGCCAGACTGGCTTCACAGCGCATGTAATACATGTATAAAGCATTCCTATATGCTGTTTTGAATCCGTCCCACTCTACCACCAATCACTTGCTGTGCATGATTGTCATTCCCAAGGGCCCCACCCAACGCAGATGACTTCATCAGGATGATGGGCCACTGCTCATCATTCTCACCCATTAAGTTCAGTGGGCATGCACCACTTTTGCACCATGTTAGTGTGGCATTATAGGATTAAATCAGGCAGTGACGAGGCGATAAAACAAATGCTATTATTGGATGCCTTGTGTTAATTGGGGAAAAAAAGCGTTCTGTGAATGGCGGCTATGCTGAACAAATGATCCCAGGTGGTCAGTGTGAAGTAGGGCAGGTGCTTGGCACAAGACCTGAAATGTCGATGCGGTCACTAGTGCCAGCTACATTGATTGTTAGTTTCTACTGCAGTCCCCCAAGTGTGAAGTATGTATACAACAATCCACACTATATTGCCAAAAGTATTAGGATGCCTGCCTTTACACGCACATGAACTAAGATTGGTATCCCGATCTTAGTCCTTAGGGTTCAGTATTGAGTTGGCCCACCCTTTGCAGCTATAACAGCTTCAACTCTTCTGGGAAGGCTGTCCACAAGGTTTAGGTAAGTCTATGGGAAGGTTTGACCATTCTTCAGATGCGCATTTGTGAGGTCAGGCGAGAAGGCCTGGCTCACAGTCTCTGCTCTGATTCATTCCAAATGTGTTCTCTCAGTTTGAGGTCAGGACTCTTTGCAGGCCAGTCAAGTTCCTCCACCCCAAACTCGCTCATCCATGTCTTTATGGACCTTGCTTTATGCACTGGTGCGCAGTTATGTTGGAACTGGAAGAGGCCATCCCCAAACTGTTTCCACAAAGTTGGGAGCATGAAATTATCCAAAATGTCTTGGTATGCTGATGCCTTAAGAGTTCCCTTCACTGGAACTAAGGGGTCAAGCCCAACCCCTGAAAAACAACCCCACACCATAATCGCCCCTCCACCAAACTTTACGCTTGGCACAGTGCAGTCAGGCAAGTACCAACCACCAAACTCAGAAACGTCCATTGGATTGCCAGACAGAGCAGCTTGCTTGGTCGCTCCAATGCGTCTTCACTGCTCTAGAGTCCAGTAGTGGCGTGCTTTACACCACTTCATCTGACACTTTGCACTGCATTTGGTGATAAAAGGCTTTGATGCAGCTTTTCGGCCATGCAATCCTTTTCCATAATGCTCTCTGAAGGCCACACGAAGTTAGGAGGTCTTTAGCTATTGACTCTGCAGACAGTTGTCAACTTCTGTACTCTTCAGCATACTCTGGCCCCGCTCTGTCATTTCACGTGGCCTACCACTTCGTGGCTGAGTTGCTCTTGTGCCTAGTTGCTTCCACTTTGTTATAATACCACTAACAGTTGACCGTGGAATATTTAGTAGCAAGGAAATTTCACGGATGTGCTTGTTGCACAGGCGGCAACCTATCACGATACCACGCTTTAATTCATTGAGCTGAGAGTGACCCATTCTTTCACAAACTTTTGTAGAAGCAGTCTGCATGTCTAGGTGCTTGATTTTATACAACAAACACTTTACTCCTGCGTTAGGAAAGGACTCAGTAGACCCAATAGGAATGTTCTGGAATTTTCTGGAATATGCACTGCTTGCTGCCCTCAACAGACCAGGGTGGTCCGAATACACTGAATACAAATGGAGAAACAGAAAAAGGGCGCACCGACCTAGTGCATTATCGTTTAAAATAATTTATTAAAGAAACAAAAATAGGTATCATACTCACAATGGACATAATAACACAGGCATGTCAAACTGAACAAGGTGTATGATCCAAACAACATTTGAGTCTATACGATGGAACCCTGGATGACCAACTTGCTAACGCGTTTCGAGGACACAACCTCTTCCTCGGAGCCCTGGTAGGCTCTGAGGAAGAGGTTGTGTCCTCGAAACGCATTAGCCAGTTGGTCATCCAGGGTTCCATCGTATGGACTCAAATGTTGTTTGGATCGTTCACCTTGTTCAGTTTGACATGCCTGTGTTATTATGTCCATTGTGAGTATGATACCTATTTTTGTTTCTTTAATAAATTATTTTAAACGATAATGCACTAGGTCGGTGCGCCCTTTTTCTGTTTCTCCATTTGTATCCGCTTGATTTTATACAGCTGTGGCCATGCAGGCAATTGGAACATGTGAATCCAATGATTTGGAGGGGCGTCCCAATACTTTTGGCAATCTAGCGTATAGAACTTTTTCTCTGTGTTTTCAGATTGTGAAAGAAAAATTCAAAGCCAAATAAAATGTGAAAAAACACTGCTGCTACTTCAACCTCTATAACATCTATTCAAACAAATATAAAGTAATCGAATAATATAGTGCTCAAATTACTATTTGTGCTGTGAAAAACATATAAACAAAAGAAATGTGTAAAAAAGTGAATAAAATATATACAGTATATAAAATAAAGTCCACTGTGCTCAAAGAGAAAAAAAGCATAAGAGTGCTTTCAGTCCCAAGAAACTTTGAAGTCATTTTATAAACACAAAGTCCACTCCTGTGTCTTGTTTCCACTTTAAACATATCACCAATGGTGCCTTCAGTGACTACCACATATCTCCCAGTCCAGTGTAACTCACTAGATCCTATTGCCTCTCATATTTCAGATAGGCAAAAGGGCTTTAGAACAGCATCCAACCCAAATTTGCTTCTCAACAAACCCCTCTCCTTTCATCTCTGCTTTCACTGTCCTAGTAAGCTCGTGACATGTAAGGAGAAAAATGCTTAGAAATGGTGTAATAAAATCCAAAACTCTATATTCCATAAAAATTGAGAATCAAATTCTTGAAGCTCAGTATGTCATATGACATACTTCACATGACCGCTGTATGTACATTGAATCAGTAAACTCTCTCTCCCGGTTTACACCCATCCACATCCTGACATGCTTCATCTTTACCAACTTCCAAGATGGATACTTACATTGGTCCAAGCTGCACCAATGTAACTTTGCAATTTAGATTATACCTGGAGTTCAGCTTTAAGCTCATGGATTGCAGTGACTGTCGAAGAACAGTGCAGGTTGCCATTGCGGACCAATGTAAGTATGCACCTTGGAAGAAGTCTGTAAAGATGAAACATTTCTCGGTGCAGGTTGTCTGTAAGAATTGCAGCGTCAATCCTTAGTGTGCATTCATGTAGTTATAGAATCCTGTTTCTTGGTTGGCATGTCTGTGACTTTGGATGCTTGTTGTTTCTAGAGTAAGTAAGAATATGTTTAATTTAGCATTGCTCTGTGTTTAGTGTTATGTTTTGCGTTAATGATTTGTAATTCATTGCCTATTTTACAGCATAGTAACTTTCTTTTATTTCTTTTTTTTTCCAGAGTAAAAATCATGGGGATCAAAGTTCAACGTCCTCGTTGTTTCTTTGATATATCAATTAACAATGTTACAGGTAAAACAGAATTACAAAAAAAAAATAAAATTTTGTCAGGGGAAGTTTTACCTTAATTTCTGTACTGGTGAAAAGAAGTGAGGAAACAAGTCCCTATGGATAGTGCATCGCAGTCAAAAAATTACTGAGAATCTAACCCCTCCCCATCTTAATCTACCAAGAGAGTTTAGGTTTGATTTTGTTTAAAGCTGAACTCTGGGAATTACACAAAAAATACAGTTGCAGTATAGCCCCCCACACATCAAGGTTTATGTGCTCATTAAGTCTGGGCTTCCTCCAAGTTGTGTGACCAGTCCTTTGGAAACCTCTGCTGTAAGGTGTCCAGTGGTCTCTCCAGTAACTCTGTGTGAGAATGACAAGGGCCCACCCACAACCCAGGGCATCTGGGAGAAGAAGCCTGTCAGAGTGAGGAATAAGTTAAATAGTACATCTTACTACTCAGCCCCCCCCCCCCGCTCATACTGCAAGCGTGTGTTTTGTGTAACTACCAGAGTTCAGCTTCAAATTACTTGCTATTTTCTTAGCCACTTGAGTGAAAACATGTAATAGCGTCATCTGTTCAGGACACCTTTAATTTTCCTGTGCGGTGACACTTTGACTGTCAATTACTGTGTGTTTACTCATGCAACACTGGACCCTAATGACTTATATATTTTTTATTTTTAGACAGATGGAACTTTTTGTGGTATTTAATAACCACTGTTTTTATCATAAAAAGAAATAAAGAACAAAAATTTTGAAAAAAAAATGCCTCTTACATTTTGTTAAAATAAATATGCAAGGATTTTACAAACATTCCTCAAAAGGACCCCTTTTCCAAAAGTAACCACTCAATTTGTGCAAATGAAGAATGGTGATATTGAAGGGTCTAAAACATAGAGCTTGGTAATTGTGCACTAGATACGGTTGGTGCATACAGGTCATATAGAGAGGAAGGAGGAAATAAAGGGGTAAATGTATGGGTCACACAGTGGGAGGATGGTGATTAAAGGGGTAAAGTGATATTAAAAGCAGATTTTTTTTTTTTTTTTTTTTTGCTTAAAAATAACAAACATGTCATACTAAACATAGTCCCCGCTCAGGTTCCCCGCTAGTGCTCCTGGCCCCTCCCTCCTGTCTGGTGCCCCTATAACAAGCAGTGCAGCTTGACCCGTCAGTTCTTGCACACTGCACAGCCCTGCAAATCAATGTTCTTACAGTGAAGCACAAATACAGCCCAGCATGTAAAACCACACACAGTTAACTCTTTGATCACCTCCACATGTTAACCCCTTCCTGCCCAGTGCCATTAGTACAGTGTCAGTGCTTTTTGTTAGCACTGATCAATTATTGGTGTCACTGGGGATGTCAGTGACACAAAGTCAGTTCCTCTAGTATCAGAATGCCCGCTGCAGTCCCACTATAAGTCGCCGATATCTAACTTTTACTAGTAAAAATAATTTAAAAAAATTCCCAGTGTATATATACCACCATTTGTAAACGCTATAACTTTCATGTAAACCAATTAATTTACACATATTGGGATTTTTTTTTTTTTTTTAGCAAAGACTGTAGCAGAATACATTTTGGCCTAAATTTCTGAAAAAATTTGATTCTTTAAAAAAAATTTTTACTAGACATATCTAATTCAAAAAGTAAAAAATATTGTTTTTTCTCAAGTGTTTACAAAAAAATAAATAAATATATATATATATATACCCCCCCCCCCCCCCCCCCCCCCCCCCCCCCCCCCCCCCCCCCCCCCCCCCCCCCCCCCCCCCCCCCCCCCCCCCCCTATATATATATATATATAATATCTATATCACAACAATAAACGCACAGGTGATCAAATGCCACCGAAAGAAAGCTCTATTTGTGGGGAATAAAAGCACATAGATTTTCATTTTGGGTGCAGCATTGCATGACCACACAATTGTCAGTTAAAGTAACTAAGCACCCTATCACAAAAAATGGCCTGGTCTGGAAGGGGGGTAAATCCTCTGGAGGGCAAGTGAGGTGGTTAAAGCCAGAAGGTTGGAATGCTAAATGAAAATTAGTTCTTAAGCATGTCTGACATATTTATTTATTTATTTATTTTTTTCCCCCCAAGAGTGGGGATTCCATACTTTTTGCCAGGAGTTGTAAATAAAAGATGCTGCACTACTAAGCATATGAATATACAGTGTATATAAAAAAGTCGGCACACCGCTGTCAAAATGTCAGGTTTCTGTGATGTAAAAAAAGTTTGTTTTCTTCCACTCCCCCCCCCCCCCCCCCCCCCCCCCCCCCCCCCCCCCCCCCCCCCCCCCCCCCCCCCAAACATTTCAGTTTTTCAGTTGAGTTGTACAGTATAGGTCACGTTAAAGGTGGAAAAAGTTCTGAAATTATTTCTTTGTCATTTTTTTTTTTTTTTACATCACAGAAAGCTGACATTTTAACGTGTGTAGACTTTTTATATCCACTGTACAAAAATCAAACGTAAATATAAAATACAATGACATACATGAATATGTGCGTCTTCCAACATAAATAAATCTACTTACTATTCCACAGTGGCATAAATCATATATGCATGGCTTGACAAATTTGCTTTGAAATCTAGAAGCTAGCTAAAAAAGTTAGGAACGATTTGTTTTTTTTTTAACCACTTCCCACCCGCCATATAGTAATATGACGGGCACGAGGTGGTTCTCCCGTTCTGGGAGGACGTAATATGACGTCCTCCCATTCTCACTGCGCATGTGCGGCTCAGGAAGCATGCAACGCAGCATTCGGCGGTGCGCTGTGTCCCACGGAAAGAGCTTAGATGTCGGCTCGGTCATGTGATCAGCTGTGTCAAATCACAGCTGATCACATGTAAACAGGGAAATACCGGTTATCGGCATTTCTCTCCTCTCGAGCTGTCACGCTGACCGCTCGAGAGGAGAGCCGGTAATCGGCTTTCCGCGGAGGGGACATGTACACTGATCATCAGGGCACTGATGATCAGTGTAGCCCCAGCAGTGCCACTTGTCAGTGTCCATCAGTGCCTTGTGTCAGTGCTCATCAGTGCCTCGTGCCAGTGCCCATCAGTGCCTACCGGTGCACATCAATGCCACATATCAGTGCCCATCTGAGCTGACTTTCAGTGTCACCCATCAGTGCCAGTCAGTGCTGCCTCTCAGTGCCATGTATCAGTGCTGCCTCTCAGTGCCACCTATCAGTGTCCATCAGTGCAGCCTCATTAGCGCACATCAGTGAAGGAGAAAAATCACTTATTTACAAAATTTTATAACAAAAACTAAGAAAAAACTTTTTTTTCAATGGTTTTTGGTTTAAGAAAAAATTAAAAACCCTGAGGGTGATTAAATACCACCAAAATAAAGCTCTATCTGTCAAAAAAAAATGATAAAAATTTCATATGGGTACAGTGTTGTTTGACCACGCAATTGTCATTCAAAGTGCGACAGCGCTGAAAGCTGGAAATTGGCCTGGACAGGAAGGGGGTATAAGTGCCCTGTAGGTTAAACACAGCTTTTTTTTTTTCTTCAACAATGCCCCTTCTCTTATGTAGCCCTGATGTGTATCTTTACAGATGCAATACACCGGGTACCCACCTTTGCCATTACAAGAGCGCACTCTCTGATTCAAATACCATGAATAGATTCTCATTGTTTTCTATGGTGCCCAGCTCAATGCCATAGTGCACCGCTCACCTGCAACATGTGAATCTCAGCGTTTCACAGAGAGATATTGGGCATCAGCGGTTGGAGTGCCACAGCAACCTCTCCTGAATTCAAATGCCGCATGCGCTGTGCACCATCTACCCCAGTGCTATGATACATGATACTCCTAGGGATCATCTTGAATAACCTAAGTAATTGCAGCCTCCATGTTTTTGTACAGCAGGCTTCCTGTATTGGAAGTTGAATGAAGTTGGTGCCATGTGAACAGGCCGGCTGTGTGGTGTTTGTGTCCAGGCCACACATACTGGCCGATGGGATTACATCTTTGTACTCCTAGCTGCTGGTCCAGCTATTCCAGCATATCTCTGAACTGCTCCCAGCTCAGCATGTCCTCCATCCTGGGAGCAGGGCAGTCTGGTGCTCGGAAACCACCGACTTCATAGCCCCCATGTCCCTGAGCTGGGCCACCACCTCCTTCAGCTGGGCCTGCTCCAGCAGTAACCCAAGTAGGGACTTCACTCTGCTGGCTGCTCATTTCTTCCACCAAATCAGCGGCTGCTGCGCCGCTCTCTTCCTGCATCATCCCCACTGCCACTGCTAATCGCTTTCCCCATATTGATGGCGGAGCAGAGCTCTTTTGTGGCCGGAGGACCTACATGGCCCAGGCTGCCTCCACCTACCCATCCAAGACCCACCCCACACCCCAAACTGAGGCATCTCACTGACAAAAGCCCAGGCACCTGGAACACAATTTCTAGTCCCTATGGCGCCAGTATATACGGTGGCTCAAAAACATAAAATCGATTTCATGGTGCTCTAAATCTCTTGACCGTTTATTTAAGCAAAGATAAAAGGAACTCTCATTTGACTGCGCAGATATTGTCCACTGCAGTATTCTCACTGTATTAAAAACACGTGTGTTGTCACAGTGTCACATGACTTCTGCAGTGCATCCTGACGAACATGCGTAGGTCGGAGCCAGGACATAGGAATAGGAAGCAAATCGATCTGTATACTGATGCCCTGAGTGTTTTTAATGTTTGTGTGTTTTTGTGGAAATATAAATTGGATGATTTTTGGTACTGTGGAATAGTAAATTTGAGATTTATCACGTATTGGATGACGCACATACACATTCACTTGATTTGTTTGTATTTTATATTTGATTGATTTTTGTATATCCATATGCTTAGTAATTCATCTTTTATTTACATTTTAGTATGTTTTTTTGGGTTTTTTTTGTTCAGGAACACAAATTGATGCTTGAAGCAACTATATTGCTCTTTATTTACTTAATAGGTCCCTTAGTAGGTAGAGGGGGAGTACAGTATTCTATTTCTACTAGTACCTTTTTATAGACTTGAGAATTCATGAACTTCGTAAAGCATTAATTTTTCAAGGAAGTAGGCCATATTAACGAAAACTATTCCTAAAGGGGAAGCACACAGCGATAAAAAGTGACAGGTGTTAAAATCAATCTCCACTCCAAACTAAAAAAAAAAAACGTTTTGCCTTTAGTTGTACCTTAACCGTCTCCCGCCCGCCATATAAGGAAATGACGGGCGCAAGGCAGTTCTCTCGTTCTGGGAGGACATCCTCCCACTCTAACCGCGCAGGCGCAACTCCGGGGGCACGCTGTGTCCCTTGGAAGATGGCTGCTTGGTCATGTGATCAGCTTTGTCCAATCACAGCGGATCGCATGTAAATAAGGAAATGCTGGTTATCGGCATTTCTCTCCTCATGATCTGTCACGCTGATCGCTCAAGTGGAGAGCCGGTAATCAGCATTCCTCAGAGGGGATGTGTACACTGATCATCAGGGCACTGATGATCAGTGTAGCCCCAGCAGTGCTACCTGTCAGTGCTCAATGCCAGCTGTCAGTGCTAATCAATGCCACCTGCCAGTGCCCATCAGTGCCACATCAATGCGACATATCAGTGCCAATCTGAGCCGCCAGTCAGTGCCGCCTATCAGTGCCATATGAGTGCTGCCTTTCAGTGCCCATCACTGCAGCCTCATTAGCGCATATCAGTGAAGGAGAAAAATCACTTATTTACAAAATTTTACAACAAAAACTAAGAAAAAACTTTTATTTTCTCAAAATTTTCAGTTTATTTTTGGTTTGTTTAGCAAAAAATAACGCAGAGGTGATTAAATACTACAAAAAGAAAGCTCTATCTGTCTCAAAAAATGATAAAAATTTCATATGGGTACATTGTTGCATGACCACACAATTGTCATTCAAAGTGCGACAGCGCTGAAAGCTGAAAATTGGCCTGAGCAGGAAGGGTGTATGAGTGCCCTGTAGGCAAGTGGTTAAAAAACAAACTTGACAGAGGCTCCAATCCTTTTCAGGTCTATTCACTAGAAAGACTTTGACTTGAGTTGGGAGCTGCTTACAAGCTTTGTGTAAGTGTTTGTAGACATTCAGAAAGTTATAGTAATAATGTTTTAATAGGAAAAAAAAAAAAAATCACCTCCCGGTGCAGCTATTGGCTTATTCTTGTCCTTTGCTTACCATGATGTCCCTTATTTAGGAGAAGGATCCATAATATTATGGTAGTTAAAAGTCAATTTCTGGACATGAGGCAGTGGCTTGTTGGACTCTGTTCGGTTCCTCACTCAAATACACAAATTTTAGTTTTTTTTTTTTGTTTTTTTTTTAATGCAGTCGTAGAAAGAATGGCTGTTGTTCACTTTGTTCTTGATGTTTTCGATTTAGTCTGAATAAAAATATTTATTTTTCTTGTTTTTTTTTTCAGTTGGAAGAGTTGTCTTTGAACTGTTTACAGATACCTGTCCAAAAACATGTGAAAATTTCCGATGTCTCTGCACAGGTTAGTTAATGCATCCTTTTAAATTTTAATTGAAACAAAAAAAAAATCCCATACATTTTCCATTGTTAAGGTGTTTTTATATGAAAGTTTTTTTTTTTTTTTTTTTTTTTTTTAAACTGGGGCTTTGTTTTAAATGCATACATGTGCTAGGTAATGGGACTACCCATTCCCATGATTCTAAAATCAAAAGTTAGTTCACCTTAATGCAATTTATGCATTGAGGTAGAAAAAAACCCCACGTTCCAGTTGCTGTTGATCCAGCACTGTGCCTGTCTGCAGGTCCAGCCATTGTCAGTCAAATCCAGTGAGGTGAGAGCAGGACCTAGTCACTCTGTGTGTGCCTATGGATGCACACAGCCTGGCTTAGGTGCGTGCCTGCTTGTATGCTCCCATAGAAAGCTGCTTCCTACGGTGGCACACAGAGAAGAGGCAGAGTGGAGAGCATTGGCAGGGGACCGCAAAATAGGAGGCCACTCTGTGCAGTACCCTTGCACAGAGGAGGTAATTATATCCTTTTACCTTTTTAAAAAAAAAAAAAAAAAAAAATTTGATCTTACAACCTCTTTAAGAGGCACTGTCACCTTGCTCATTCAGGGTTTCTTGATGTCTGTGCTCACTAGTACTCACCTTGCATGTGCTCCCCATTGTGGGCTGGTGTCTTAAGCTCAAGGGTGTGCTGACAGTCATGTGACATTGTTTTGTCCAGTGATTGGTTACTAGACCTGAGCACTGTCAGGTGCTGCTTCCCATACCTCAAAGCAGCCAGTAGTTTCACTGACTGAGGCTGTAGAAGGAACTATAGAGTGTGCTGCCCTCAATGAGCAATTGAACAGTGTCTCTGTATGCGTTGTGACTCAGAATAAAAGGACTACATCCTCAATGTGGACCCATAGTGCAGCCTGTCTTCCATTAGTTGAAGAGCAAACTTTTTGCTTAAACACGATCGCAGTTAAGTTGTTCAAGGTGTGCCCATGCATATAGATATACTGTATTATGTGAGTTGTTGCACTATTGGTTAAAATATACTAATAGTGAGCCACTTATACTTTTAAATGTACTCCAACCTATATTCATATTAAGTCCAAATGCATGAATCACCAAACAATGAAAAAGTCTTTTGATGATAAAATTCCAATTATGATGAACAACCATGTCCACAATAATCCTTCATGTGTGTAGTGAAATAGACACTCTCGTGCCCACCACCACAAAAAACACACTGCTTCTTACTGAATAGTTAGACCCCAGATTATAGGTAGTCTAACAAAGGATGATGCTGAACATATGCTTGTAACATCCTAGGTGGAAAAGAAGTGTCACAGACTTCGGTATCTCTCCTCCTCCTTTCATCCCTTATTGTGATCCGCTGTGTACTCGATCAAAAAGGATAATGCTCCAGATAGTGAGATAACGTACAGATGATTTATTAAAATGCATTTAAAAAAAACACTTAACTTCAAAGACAAATGAGCTTGTAAGTCACAAAAGCTGCTGGTGTTTGCTCCAGGCAGGCGTGGGTGACCTCAGCAAAATCTCCGCCCCGCCCCAGGGTATATTTTGTCTCAATGGATGATCTCATGGGGACAGATGATCCTCTTGACAACGTCTATTGAGATGAAAAGTACATACTTGTCTTTAAAGTAGAGGTGTAAAATTTTCTTTAGATCCCTGGGTTCATTGTTTTACCCCATTCTGAAAATGCTGGTCGCATTGTCATTGTGAAGTCATATATATGTCCTTGGGTAGAATTTGTGATTTAGAAAGTGATAATGCCAAATTCCAGCTTTCTTTCACATTAAAATAGTTTGTTTGGCCCAAGCTTCATTAATGGATACACCTGCAGTCCAAGTCATCTTCATTAACGGATACACCTGCAGTCAGCGCAGTGTTGTGTACAGCAGGGTCTGGATAAAAAAGGACTAACCATGCTGGTTATGCTCTATGTACGCATCTCCAGGCCAGAAAGCGTTTCCACACTTTTCAACTACAACAATCGCATCCCATATATGTTTATTTAAAAAGAAAACCTGCAGTGAGTCAGTGTGGGAGCTGCCACTGTTTACCTGCGCCCATTGTGAGCACTGTATAAACTGTTTGTAGCATCTGCTACCTACAGTGTACAATGCTGTGTTCCAGCAGCGGGATAGGGACTTCCCATCCTGCTCCCAGAATATTGAGCCAGGCTGAGCACTGCTCATCCATTCACAGGAGGTGTTTTTTATTTTCTGAATAATTACAAGGCTTCTTCTGATTGGCTGAGGTGGAGAGGTGGGTAGATGACATCACAATCTCCACCTCAGCCAATCAGAATTATTGGATTATTAAAATATAAAGCTTCCTGTGAATGGTTGAGCAGTGCTCAGCACAGCTTGATTTTGTTCTGGGAGCAGAATGGTAAGTCCCCATCCCACTGCTGAAACACTACAGTTTTTTTTTTTTTTTTTTTTTTTTTTTTTTTTAAAACACACATAAGATGTGATTGTTGAAGTAGTAGAAGAGTGTGGAAATTTTCTGGCCTGGAAATGCATACATGGGAGCACATCATACATGGAGCACATCATACATGGTTAGTCTTTTGATTTTTCATTTAGGCCCTGCTGTAATGTAGTTCCCTTTGATAGACTGTGATCTGACAATCCCTGAGATGCAGGAGTGATACTACACCACTGCTGTATCTTGTGTACAGAAAGCCTGATTTCAATAAAATGTCAGTGCTAATGTTTTCAGTTATCAGTTTCAAGCCTGCCTTGTGTGCGCTTACATGAGTGGTGATACTGAGAGTGTGTAGAAAGGAATGTACACTCAGCAGACCTCAGAAAACAAACTCCCAATGACCTTTTAGGCCTCATTCACACCATACGTACAGAAAAACTGATGGAAACTGATGTGCAGATTTCACTTGCAGAGACATCAGTTTACATGAGTTTTTTTTTTTCATGTATCAATGAGTTTTATTAACATTGCAGATTCTTGCACATAGAAAATCTGCACATGATACTAATGTTGTGGAATGAACAGGACACATAGAGAACAATTGATTTTGTTGTGTCCTTGCAGAATGCATGCAGAAAAACCGACGTCTCTGCAATGTGGTGTGTGAACGAGCCCTTAAGTGCTTTCTAAATTCTGGCCTTAGTGAATTGCACAAAACTGATAAGTTGCAGTATTACCTGGACAGGATTGGCAGTTTACGGATTGCTAGGGATAAAATTTGGGTTTGGTCCAAACCTGGAATTTGGATGTCATTTCTGGGCCAATGAGCTTCAGGCAGGAGATTTTCCCTTTTGTGTATGTCAAGCTGCAGGACAGAATGTCGCGCTCACAGCTCAGTGTCTCAGCAACGTAGGCTAACTTCCAAGTTCAGAGTGAATACAGGCTCATCACAAAGTATTATGTATGGCCCTAGAACTGCTCTTATAAAGAAAGGGGCAATTAAATATGCAGGCTGCTTTTGCTTGCTGACATCCTGATGCTTGGCATTCATGCTAATCCATTAACTTCAGTCCTGAAGCACATATGCAGATCAGAAGTTGTGATTGCACTCTAAGGGCTCATCGCACTTGACTGCTTTCTAACTCTTCCCAAACGCCCCTATAGTGTTTGACAGATGTTAGACATGCTTTTGGGGATCTTTTTTAACGCTCCCCAAACGACCTATGTGCGTTTTTGAGGTATATGGTATTAATACCTCGCAAATGCCTGCCAGGCGTTTGAGGAGCTTCACCATAGACTTGAATGGGAGGCATTGAAAGGCTCCTCCTGACTCCACATGAGGCGTCAATCTTTCCCCAATGCTAACGCTTTAGTGTGAACAGCACTGTGCGCTGCCATGTGTATAATTTTTATAAGTGTTTGAGGAACATTAAAAACACCCCTCAAACGCCTGCCTACAAAGCTAGTGTTAACTTAGCCTAACATTCTGATCTGGATACTTGGTTCAGATTATTAAATTAGGAAAAAAAAATTAAATCTGCAATAGCCAGGCAGCTAACCAATGGCATGCCCTTTTCTTGTACTTGCAATTTTTAGGGATTTCATAGACACCCCGGCATAGTTTTGTGTCCGGCGATTTTCTTCTTTTTGTTTGTTTGTTTGCCAGAGGACAAGGTTTGTGCACTATTTTTTTTCAATAGTTAGCCATTAAAAGGTCCATAATTCTTGATGAATGTTAAATGTACTTCTTTTCTATTCTTTCTTTATTTTTTAGGTGAAAAGGGTATTGGAAAAACCACACAGAAGCCATTGCATTACAAAAATTGTTTGTTTCATCGAGTAGTAAAGGATTTTATGATTCAGGGAGGAGATTTTAGTGAAGGTAATCTAATATACTAAGACCTTTTCACACTTTGATGAATGCTACAAGCAGTACATTTTCCCAAGTATGTGTAAACTTTTACCTTGTACAACAACACCAAGCATACAGTTTAACCACTTGAGCTCTAAAAGGTTTTACCCCTTTGCAACGTTTTACCCGATGATCACCTAGCATTACCAACGGCAGAGAGAACTGTATGTAAACAATACAGTTCTCTCCCCTGTCCAGCTCCTGAACACTGCTTTGTATGGCTCTGCATAGCAGAGCCATACAAAGTAGTGTGCTTACAGTGGAAAGTGTGCGCTGACACACAGCCTCATAGTAAAACACACAGCACAGTTAACCCTTTGATCACCCCAGATGTTAACCCCTTCCTGTCTGGTGCCATTAGTACACTGTCAGTGCTTTTTATTAGCACTGATCACTGCATTGGTGTCACTGAGGATGTCAGTGACACCAAGTCTGTTCCCCCCAGTGTCAGAATGCTGAACGCAGTCTCACTATAAGTCGCTGATTGCCAGCATTAATAAAAACATTTTTAATGTCTCACAGAAGTGAGTACACCCCTCACATTTTTGTAAATATTTTATTATATCTTTTCATGTGACAAGAAATTACAATGACACTTTGCTCCAATGTAAAGTAGTGAGTGTACAGCTTGTATAACAATGTAAATTTGCTGTCCCCTCAAAATAACTCAACACGCAGCCATTAATGTCTAAACCATTGGCAACAAAAGTGAGTACACCCTTAAGTGAAAATGTCCAAATTGGCCATTTTCCCTCCCCGTTGTCATGTGACATGTTAGTGTTACAAAGTCTCAGGTGCGAATGGGGAGCATGTGTGTTAAATTTTGGTGTTATCGCTCTCACTCTCTCATACTGGTCACTGGAAGTTCAACATGGCACCTCATGGCAAAGAACTCTCTGAGGATCTGAAAAAAAGAAATGTTGCTCTGCATAAAGATGGCCTAGGCTATAAGAAGATTGCCAAGACCCTGAAATTGAGCTGCAGCACAGTGGCCAAGACCATACATCGGTTTAACATGTAAGGTTCCACTCAGAACAGGCCTCACCATGGTCGACCAAAGAAGTTGAGTGCACATGCTCAGCATCCTATCCAGAGGTTGTCTTTGGGAAATAGATGTATGAGTGCTGCCAGCATTTCTGCAGAGGTAGAAGGGATGGGGGGGTCAGCCTGTCAGTGCTCAGACCATACGCCGCACACTGAATCAAATTGGTCTGCATGGCTGTCGTCTCAGAAGGAAGCCTCTTCTAAAGATGATGCACAAGAAAGCCCGCAAACAATTTGCTGAAGACAAGCAGACTAAGGATTAGTGGAACCATGTCCTGTGGTCTGATGAGACCAAGATAAACTTATTTGGCTCAGATGGTGTCAAGCGTGTGTGGCGGCAACCAGGTGAGGAGTACAAAGCCAAGTGTGTCTTGTCTACAGTCAAGCGTGGTGGTGGGAGTGTCATGGTCTGGGGCTGCATGAGTGCTGCCGGCACTGGGGAGCTACAATTCATTGAAGGAACCATGAATGCCAACATGTACTCTGACATACTGAAGCAGAGCATGATCCCCTCCCTTCGAGACTGGGCTGCAGGGCAGTAGTCCAACATAACAACCCCAAACACACCTCCAAGATGACCACTGCCTTGCTAAAGAAGCTGAGGGTAAAAGTGATGGACTGGCCAAGCATGTCTCCAGACATGTCCTCAAACGGAAGGTGGAGGAGCGCAAGGTCTCTAACATCCTCCAGCCCCATGATGTCATGGAGGAGTGGAAGAGTCCATGCCCAAGAGGGTTAAGGCCGTGCTGGAAAATAATGGTAGCCACACAAAATTTTTACACTTTGGGCCCAATTTGGACATTTTCACTTAGGGGTGTACTCACTTTTGTTGCCAGTGGATTAGACATTAATGGCTGTGTGTTGAGTTATTTTGAGAGAACAGCAAATTTACGCTGTTAAGCTGTACACTCACTACTTACATTGCAGAAAAAGTGTCATTTCTTCAGTGTTGTCACATGAAAAGATATAAAATATTTACAAAAATGTGAGGGGTGTGCTCACTTCTGTGAAATACTGTATATATGTATGTAAACGCTATAACTTTCACATAAACCAATTTACACGTATTGATTTTTTTTTTTTTTTTAGCAAAGGCACGTAGTAGAACACATTTTGCCCTAAATTTATGAAGACATTTGATTTTTTTTAAATTTTTTTCATTGGACATGTTTAATAACAAAAATTTGAAAATGTTTTTTTTTTTTTTTTTTTTTTTTTTTTTTTTTTAAATTGTTGGTCTTTTTTTTTTTTTTTTTTGGTTTATAGTGCAAAAAATAAAAACAGCAGAGGCGATCAAATACCACCGAAAGAAAGCTCTATTTGTGGGGAGAAAAAAAAACCCTATGTAAATTTCATTTGGGTACAGCATTGCATGACCGCAAAATTGTCAAAGTGATGCAGCGCTGTAACGCAAAAAATGGCCTGGTCAGGAAGGGAGGTAAATCCTCGGGGGGGGGGGGGGGGGGATTAATCACCACTGGGTTTGTTTTTTTAATATTATTATTATTATTATTATATATAAACAAGGAAAGAGCAAACATTTTGATAAAAAATTTTTTTTCACTTTCTGCTATAACATACTCAATAGAAAAAATGGAAAAATCTAATTTCTTCATAGTTTTAGGCCAGAATGTATTCTGCTACAAGTCTTGTAAAAACAAAAAATCCCAACAAGTGTATATTGAGCTGTTTGTGTAAAATATATTGTCTAAAAACTAGGGTGTATATATACTGGAATTTTTTTTTTTTTTTTTTTTTATACTAGTAATGGAGGTGATCAGCACATTATAGTGGATCTGTGATGTGCAGTGGGCAATCTGACACTAAGTGAGACTGGGTGTGAGATGGGCTGTGATTAGACGCAGCCGATCAGCAGGTCTCTGCCATGTATCATTGGCTGAAACCTGCTGTCAAAATGTTCAATCAGTGGGAGTCGGCGGGGAGGGGGTTTGCCCTTAACCCAGAAAGAGACTGAGAAAATATCACATACCCTCTGTTCCCAGTTGCATAGAGAGGTGAGGGTGGAGAAACAGCAGTACACTAGTCTTTACATGGAATGGCTGTGCAGGGGGGATGTGTTAGTGCAAGTCTCATTGGGGGAGAGCAGGCTGAGTTCACAACACAGCTAGAGAACTGAATGCTGTGCCTAGTGTGGTTAGTTTTTAATAAAAAAGCAGGACTGGCAGGAACGCCAAGGAATTAATTCAAATTACAAAATACAAAGAGAACAGGATACATTTTCATACAAGTACATGATACAGCAGGCGTATATAAGGAATATGAAATGTTTGGTTTACATACTCAAGGTTTTTTTTTTTTTCCGATGTTTGAACTTGAGTTATACAGAATGGGTTCTACATATGATTTTTTTTTAAACGAGCCCCAGGAGTTCTGTTGCATAATGTGCTAGTATGCACTGCACATTATGACAGACTTGTCTCTAAAACGAAGACCTTCAGTGCTGAGCTTTCATTGCTCCTAGTGTTTCCATCTTCACCCAGTCCTCTTTCTGGGTTTATGCTGTTTGGCTACTTGAATGGCTGGGCCACAATAATGTTGCTCCCATTCATGCGCATAGGAGTCACTATCGCGGCACAGCACTCTCTACGATCATAGCATAGTGTGCTTGTGAATGACATAATCTGCCAGAGTCGACATGGGTTTAAATGCTTTCCAAGGTACCTACAGGTAAGATTTATTATAGACTTACCTGTAGGGCTAAGGTAAATACTGTTCTAAGAACTGGTTAATAGAGCCATAGGAAATAAGGCACTTCATTTCAAAAGAAACTGCAACATTGATCATTGGTACATTAGGTTGGAAATGGGAGGGGGGGTATTGCCACTATCCTAGCATTACTTTTAGTAGAGAAGTGATTGCTCTACAAGTGTTCTTCTTAAAGTGGTCCCATTGTTTGTTCTTTTTTGATGTGTTAATTTCTTATTTATATGCCAAATACTTTATTTGTTATATGCATTTGTTTTGTTTTTTTTTCTTTAATTAGGAAATGGAAGAGGAGGAGAATCTATATATGGAGGATTTTTTGAAGGTAATAAGATTCAAATGTATGTTTAAACCTTGACAGCAAATAGAGTATGTAAGGTTCATTACAGTATTTTTAATGCCTACACTTGGAGGACACGAACGTGATTATATTTGGGTAGCAGTAGGTCTCCACAGGTAAAAGTTTGAACTTGGAAGCGTACTGCACTATTTGTCGGCATGTACACTCACACCTAGCAGTTGGAAGATGTGTCAAAAGTGCTTTCAAAGTGGCCCATTTTAAAGATCGTGGAAACAAAGCCAAGTCTAGTCTAGACTTTGTTTACAACAAGTGTTTGCAGTGCTAAATGTAGGAAATAATGCATTTCCTTCCAGAATTCTAATAGTATTGGGAAAACCTCTCCAATAAACTCATTGAAACTAATTTCAATTGGTTAGTCAAGAAAATATTTAAAATGATTTGTGACATTTTTTGTTCCTGTCATTTAAAGTAGTATTGAAGAGTAACTATACTTTTGTTGAGAAAAAAAAAATTTCCCCTCTGGTTGATCTATGTACATTGCAAGCATTTTAACAAACATTGTTGCAGATTCCTATCTTTTGTTCTTCTGAAGAAGTAGCTGTTAGTCTGTGATCTTAATGGGAGTGATTTCTTAATTATCTATCCACTGCTGAACTTGCAGGGCTCTGATGATGAAAGTGGCATGGTCTCCATCCCTTGAGACGTGATTACCCTTTGGGAGTACCGTGCCAAAAATTACATTTTTGTTGCAGGGGATGCTCAAAATCTGATTTACATTTTAGTGCAGACTTCTGGGAAAATCAGTAAGGTAGTAACACAAGCAGGAAATGATATATCTGGGGGGCATTCTGTACACCATCTGTGTACAGAACACCTCCGGGTAGCCATATTGCATTTTACAGAAGATTGCAGTGCTCCAGATTGAAAAGGAAAGGTAATTTTTAATCAATTACAATATGACTTTGGTTGCAATTGTATACACTATATTATTCTTTATTATTTGCCTTTTCCAATGAAAGTGGAGGTAAATTCTCAGCGGTTTTTAGCTTAACATTGAGCGCAGTAATGAACATTCCACAATATACTATTTTTTTTTTTTTTAAATTATTACCCCAGCAATTGCCATATACATCGTTCAATTCTGCTGGTTCTTGATGTCTCAATGCTGCTTCCCTGACTTCTGCTCTTAACAGGAAAGAGTTAACAATGGACAGTGCTGTCCCCAGTCAGTCTGTTGGCTGGGAGGAGTAGAGGGATGCCTTGCCATTCTAAGTTACAGGCCTGTGTGTGTGTTGTTTGTTTTTTTGTTTTGTTTTTTTTATGCACACCGTGTAGGGAGACACAGCTCTGGTCCTTGATGCTTAGGCTCCATAAGATGCTGCAAAAGGAAGGAGCCACCTGCCTTTTTTTGGTTAGCAATTACCATAGAGTTCAACCTAAGTTGTCCTAATGAAAAAGTGGCAATCCATTAACTAGTTAAAGGGCATCTATAGAAAAAACGTTTGCTGTATTTATGTGTTTAGCATCTGTTCAGTTGTTTCTGACAATATGTATTAAAATAGATTCTCTATCATTTTAGATGAGAACTTCTCTGTTCAACACAACAAGGAATTCCTTCTGTCCATGGCCAATCGGGGCAAGGACACCAATGGCTCACAGTTTTTTATGTATGTATGAACCTGGATTTATATAATTGAAATAGAACAAAATTACGAGCCATGCTCTGTTACTATCTTTTTATTTTCAAAAGCTTTACACTGAAGCGAGATACATTTTTTTAGTTTAGCTATTGAGCAAAATGAGATTAACATCTCCCAACTCTGTAATCCAAGAGCAAGTAATGCAATTTATACTTGTACCAAAAAGCTTGTTTCCCCCCTCCCCCCCCTTTTTTTTTCTAGTGATGAAGGGTAAAACTACTTTGTGCATCCAGGTGGATTTCACCTTGTTTTTTTTCAGGATAAATCAGACTTTCTTTTGGTGGTGAATGGTAAAGGATATCACCTATTTTTTTTTTTTTTTTTTCTATTATTATTATAGGAAAACGGGCCCAAAATGGTAAACAGAAATGTAATTTTTTAATAAAATTTAGCTGTATATGTCTTGCTATTACAATAAAATAACATCAAAGAACAACCCAAAATAAATTCTCCTGCTCCTGACAATTGCAGCGATACCACATATGTGTATGTTGTTTGTATCCGTAGTCCAGTACAATAGTGCGCATTTTACTTTTCTTTTTTTTTTGTTATACTACCTAAAACACGCTGATACTATTTAAAACAACTTTAACTCCTGCCAACAATATACTGACCATGACCACCTTTAACCCTCACACTAACCTTTTACCTTGACCATTGACCCAAACACTAACCCTTGCACTGACGTAGATCAAGCCATTGATCTACTACCTATGTTTTCTTTTTAGTTTTTTATTTTTGTTATTTTTTTTTCAAACACACTTTTGTTCGTGTTTTTCATCCCCCAAAAAGGAGACATAGATGCAATGTATTTCTCTTTCCATTCAGAGAGAGAGAAAACACAGGGGCAAGGATGCACAGTGACCATCATAGCAATCGGGTGTGCTGGAACCAGGATTCCTGGGTCCTGATCTGTAGCATGGAACCTGGGGTTCCCAGAGAGATAGACGTGTGTGTGTGTGTAGATCAGACTGAGAAATAGCATGCATTGCCAAGCTGCAGTAAACAAGGCTAGCAGACTGTTATGCATTGAAAAAGAGTACTTTCTCAAAAGATAAGAGATCGTAATTATTACAAAACTCTGGTTAGGCCACATCTTAAGTATGCAGTCCAGATTTGGTCATCAATCCTCAAGAAGGGTGTACTTGAACTGGAGAGAGCCCAGGGAAGGGAAGCAAAGCTAATAAGTGGGATGGAGGACCTCAGTTATGAGAAACTACAAATTTTAAACTTATTTTCTCTTATTTTCTCTGGATGAGAGGCAGTTAAGAGGTGATACGATCTCAATATACATATCTTTTAAATGGTGACTGTATCAGTGGAGGAAAACTATTTATTCTTCGGTCTCTAAAGAAGACACATGGCACACAAGTTGGATGAGAGGCATTTCAATTTTAAACTGTGTAAGGGGTTCCTTATGGTTTGAGTGATGGGGATGTGGAGCTCCTTCCACAGTTGATGGTATCAGTGGGAAGTGTAGATAAATTCAAAAACCTTTTAGATGTGTTTCTTAGCCAACACAATTTACACACACACGCGCGCACACACACACACACACACACGTAAGTGAAAATATTTTTTGTCAAAATGAAAGTGACACCAAGCATGTGACATTTAACCTAGGTTTCAATGAATTCCTTTGCAAATCCTCATTTTATACCACTGTCTGTCAGGGTTTCAGTAGGTCACCCTCAGTAATCATTAGATCTTGCATATCATATTGGTTTGGAGAGAATTGTACAGCATTCTGAGTAAGGTTAATTTCACACCATCTGAATTGCCTAATGAATATCTATGCACAAAGATAAAAATGTTATATATTGCATCTTTCCAGTCCTTCTTCAAGAAGGTAACTGCATTAAATTTTTTTTTAGGCTTTTTTTTTTCCCCTTCAGTTTCACCTTTGTAATTCTGTGAATAACACGTTTTCTGTCCCTTTGTGGCTATGCTTACTCCTCCACTTTATCTATGGCGAGAGTTTTGGTAGCCAGCCAGGCTGGACTACAAATATGTATTTTTATAATAAACCATATAGTACTGCGCTGCTTAAAGATCAACTTGTGAATAAATACCTATGTGCTCAGGTGATCAAATTGAATAAATCTACCTAAAAATAAAAACACTGCTTACCATCCAACACTTAAAATGCCAAATAATCATGCATACAGTTGAGTTCAAACATTTTCATAACCTGGCAAAAATTTCACGATTTCTGCCAGGGTATGCCAACTTTTGAGCACAACTGTATAACACAAAATAAACCAAATCCAAACTCCAAAAGCTAATCACAGGGACAGTAACACACTAATGCTCTGCTAAAACAAATGTGTAATCAAGTGAGAATGCATACAGATTTAAGAAATCATAAATAAAAACAATACAAAAATCCAATAGATTATAGTACAATAAAAGTGAAATATATGAAATGAATAGCAGGTACAGCAAAGACCCGCTTGCCCTACTAACAAAGCGCAAAAAGGGCTTAAATGTATACAGTTAATCCACAAAAGTCCTTAAATGACTAAAAACTGAAATATATAACAAGTTCTTATGCAGATAAGTCCCACAGTGCAGTCCGATATAAATAGGTGCACATACATAAAGATGGTGTCCCACTCCACTTCAAAAGATAAACAACACTTGTGGGTCCTGGTTATCTCACACCACTGTGCACATCCACAATATGGATTACATGTTCACCTTGAATTTTGACCTATAAAACTACGGGTCAATGTGCGTGATACTAAAATTCCAGCCTAGGATCATCAGCAAGTTGAAACGGTGCATGTAGGTTCCACAGGAAAATAATTAATTACCAATCCCATTTAAATGTCAGTCACCGCCAGCAGCCCTGGGCAGAGGTAAATGCCCAAAGGAAAAACACTTCTATTTATTGGAGGGTAAAATACCCAATAGAACCACACTTACAATATAAAGTCATAGACTCAATACAACATTACAGTACCCATCTTAAAGGAGACCAAGAGAATCCAAAGCAGACGTTATCTCATCACATCACATCACAAAAAAAAAAAAAAAACCATAAAAGAAATGAAATACTAGCAGCTACTGAATCAATGAGTGAATACGATGCAAAAAAGAATGTTCCACAAAATACAGTTTAGTAGGCGCTATTGCACACAACCCCTATCTCATATAAGGCAAAATCAATAATAATGTAAAACCAGTGCAAGCGCTACAAACCAAAAACAACCTAAATACAAATGTGTTAAAGAAGATCATTTAAATTTGTCATAAGTCCAAAAACGTTTCTTCTGTATGATGCTCCCTTCCTTCAGTCACACTTTTTTTTTTTTTTTTTTTTTTTTTTTTACACTGGAAGCAGTGTGACTGGCACCAGAGGACTGGACTAGAAGTTCCTCCCATTGATGTTTCCCTGCAGATGGGCTGAGAGAGAAACTGGGTCACATGACAGCTGTATATTGACTATGATAAAAGTCTGTGTTTTATGAGGTGAATTTGTGGTGATAGTTATATTCTGAACAAGGTGTTAACAGCTAATTCCATCAAGTTGATCTTCAGAGTCCATTGTGGGACCAAAAGTTCAGTTAGAACAAACATAATATTATGTGAGGTCACACTGCTGTAAGTGAGCAGACATCTGGTGGTGGATATTGCACTCTTGTATTTGAAGCACTTGGTGATCACAGGAGGAAGGGAGCACCATAAAGAAGAAAAGTTTTTGGACTTTTTATTACAATTTAAATGATCTTCTTTAACATATTTGTGTTTAGGTTGTTTTTGGTTTGTACGCTGCACTGGTGTCACTTTATTACTAAAAAAAACCACAAGGATGTTTATGATGATGAGAGACTTAATGTCTGGAAATACTGTGTGTGTTTATAGCCATTTCTGATGTTCTGCATATGTTTCTTTATACGCTTCCACAAAGGTCTTTTGGCCCTACCAATATACTGTAGCCCACACGGACATTGTAGGGTATACACGATTCCCTCAGTCCTGCAGGTATTATTATTCAGTATTTATATAGCGCCAACAGTTTGCGCAGTGCTTTACAATATAAAGGGAGACAGCACCGTTACAATACAGTACATTTTAATACAAGATGATTGGGAGGGCCTGCTTGTAAAAGCTTCCAATCTAAGGGTCCATGTACTTAAAAAAAAAAAAAAAAAAAAAAAATCAGTTAACTTGCCAGAAAACGTGTTTTTACAAGAAAACATTAGGGTAATACAATACCTGATGCAATATTCAGTTCCTGTTGCATGCAAGGTAAACACATGTATTTTTTATGTCTACCTTTTTTCATCACCATAACATTTGGGTGGAGTAATCAGTAGTTTACACTAGAAATATGAAATTCTTTCAGTCAAGTGTAATGGAAGTGACATGGAAGCTACATTTCTGGCATGATCACCTGTTTTTTTTTTTTCCATACTTGCTAAAAAAATGTTTTTGGCCTAAAAAATTAAAATGAATGTAGCCACTATATATAAGAATCAGTAGCATGTCATATATTATTTTTTTCAGTTTTTGGGTTTAGATATGCTTCAATCCTCTAAGCCAGTCAAACATACACCCTAAAGTTTTCATTTAACAGTCGTAAATCTAGATTGGCTATTGGTGTGAATGTGGGTGGCAGTTGACCCTGGAGGGGAAGGTTGGTAGTGGCCGTTGACCCAGGGAGAGTTTTCCAGCATATTAATATTTGTAAATAGAAGTGCAAAAAAGTTGAATTTCCTTTTCTTTTTCAGTAAATGTGCAGTTTCAGAAATCTGATTTTGTATTTTTATTTTCCTTCTCAGAACAACAAAGCAAACACCTCACTTGGATGGGTAAATATTGGTTGGATTTGTTTGGTTGTAACACATTTGTTTTAATTTCACTGATTGTTACCCCTCATCCACAATTTTACAGGCTCCATGTTGTTTTTGGTCAAGTCGTATCCGGTCAAGAAGTGGTAAGAGAGATTGAAAATCAAAAAACTGATGCTTCTAGCAGACCGAGTGCAGAAGTCAGAATACAGAATTGTGGAGAACTTGTTCAGGTTCAAAAATCTAAATGTGAGTGTTGTGACATCTCTACATGAAACATGTCATGATAACTGTTATTGTCAAAGTATTCAACAACCGAAAACGTAAATGTATTTTATTGGGATTTTGTGATAGAGTAAGTGGCACATAATTGTGAAATGGAAGGAAAATGGTAAATGGTTTTCAAAATTTGTTATTAATAAATATCTGAAAAGCGTAATTTGTATTCAGCCCCCTTTTACTCTGATACCCTTAACTAAAATCTAGTGGAACCAATTGCCTTCAGAAGTCACCTAATTAGTAAAGAATGTCCACCTGTGTGTAATTTAATTTCAGTATAAATACAGCTGTTCTCTGAAGCCCTCAGAGGTTTGTTAGTGAACAGACAGCATCATGAAGGCCAAGGAACACACCAAACAGGTCAGGGATAAAGTTGTGGATGAATTTAAAGCAGGGTTAAGTTATATTAAAAAAAAAAAAAAAAAAAAAATCTCAAGCTTTGAACATCCCACGGAGCACTGTTCAATCCATCTTCCAAAAATGGGAAAGAGTACGGCACAACTGCAAACCTACCAAGACATGGCCTTCCACCTAAACTGACAGGCCAGGCAAGGAGCATTAATCAGAGAAGAAGCCAAGAGGCCTATGGTAACTCTCTGGAGGAGCTGCAGAGAGCACCAGCTCAGGTGGGAGAATCTGTCCACAGGACAACTATTAGTCGTGCACTCCACAAATCTGACCTTTTTGGAAGAGTGGTAAGAAGAAGCCATTGTTGAAAGAAAGCCATAAGGAGTTCCATTTGCAGTCAGCGAAAAGACTTGAGACTGGGGTGCAGGTTTACCTTACAGCAGGACAACAATCCCAAACATACAACAAGAGCCACAATGGAATGGTTTAGATCAGTGGTCTCCGAACTGCGGCCCGGGGCCAGATGTGGCCCTTTGCCTTTATCCATCCATTGAGGCATCTTTCCTCCCACTGACACAAAACACTATTCCTCCCACTAACACCAGGAATGGGGCATAATTCCTACTACTGTCATCAACAATAGGGCCCACTGACACCAACAATGGGGCCCTATTTCTCCCACTAACACCAACAGGGCACTATACCTCCCACTGACACCAATGGTGAGGCACTCACTGACACCACTGATAGGGCACTATTCCTTCCACTGACACTAGCAATGGGGCACTATTCCTCCCCCTAATACCAAAGATGCATTGTTTACTCCCACTGACATCAGGAGAATTTCAATTCCCAATGGCCACAGACCTGCCCCCCCTAAAGTCTGAAGGACCGTAAACTGGGTTTAGAAAGTCTGGAGACCCCTGGTTTATACCAAAGCATATTCATGTGTTAGAATGGCCCAGTCAAGTCCATACTTAAATCCAATTGAGAATCTGTGGCAAGACTTGAAAATTGCTGTTCACAGACACTCTCCATCCAATCTGATAGAGCTTGAGCTATTTTGCAAAGAAGCATGGGCAAAAATTTCACACTCTAGATGTGCAAAGCTGGCAGAGACATCCCCAAAAAGACTTGCAGCTGTAATTGCAGTGAAAGGCGGTTCTACAAAGTATTGACTCGGGGGTTGTATACAAATGCACAACACACTTTTTTTCAGATATTTCTTTGTAAAAAATTTTGAAAACCAGTTATTTTCCTTCCACTTCACAATTATGTGCCACGTTGCGTTGGTCTATCATATAAAATCCCAAAAAAATACATTTACGTTTTTGGTTGTAACATGACAAAATTTGGAAAATTTCAAGGGGTATGAATACTTTTTTCAAGGCAATGTATGAGACCCCATCCAGTACTAGAGGTTGTTTGTCTGCATAAAACCTTGCTAGCTTCAGTGGGGAGTAGATGCCTCCTGCCTTATCTAAAACTTTACACTGCTTCTAGGATTTAGGGAAGGGCAGGCTTCAGCACTGGTTTTTTGCCTTGTAGGTAATGGCCATAATGGATGGTTCATCGTAACTTTTTGATGTATTGCGATTTGCGTGCCGTCCAAATCTAATATTTGTTGTTTTTTGCTGGTTTTAGCTAAAAAAGAGAAGAAGAGGCACAAATCTTCCTCCTCCAGTGACACAGAAGATTCAAGTGGGTCTGATTCCTCTTCTGATTCATCATCAGACTCGGAAGAGGAAGAAAAATCTAAAAAGAAGAAAAAGAAGCACAAGAAAACTTCCAAGAAACAGAAAAAGGGAAAGAAAAAGCGAAAAAAGAACAAGAAAAGGTACAATACTTTTGAGGAAAAAATCTGCTGAGAACTATTTATATCTAAAAAACTTTACATTACCATACCAACATTACTTTTTTTTGGTATTTGATAAATGTCTGCCTTGCCTGTGAAAAAAAAACTTTTATGTTTATGATGTATCCTTGCCTCTGTGGATATCTGGTACTGACCAGAGTACTAGTTTCTCTTTTATTAAGAGAATAGTTTAAAGGTGTGAAAGCAGTCCTGTGTGCAAATTAACAAGCTTTTAGTATGACCTCTCTGCTCAATTAGGGTGACTTCACATTGCCCCGCTGTACTTTTCCTAAAGTGCAGCTAACCCGTGGTTTTCTTGCTTTCCCATAGACTGAGGTCCTGAAGTTTTAGTGCAGTATCAGAAAGTGCACCATAACTCCTGTGTGCTGCATCTTGTGTGTTTTCTGAAACGCACGTGCTGGGGCGCCTATGCATGAAAGTGTTGATTGTGATACACGTCACACATCGCCACGCACGCCAGAATGAGAGCAATGATTCTAGCACCAGACCTCCTCCGTAATGCTAAACTGATGACCTATAAGGAGCTTTAAAAGTGTCGACCTATAGAAAAAATAGGGTACTGAAGTTCACCGCCATTTCATGAGCGCATACAAATTTAAGGTTTGACATGTTGGATATCTATTTACTTGGTGCAACCTCATCTTTTATAGTTTACAAAAAATAGGGTAATTTATTGCTTTTTTTTTTGTGCCCTAAAATTAACTTACTTGTATTTTTTACTGAACTTTTACAGTAATATCATGCGACATAAAAAATTGGAACTACCACTATTGTATTCTCTAAGGTCTCTGCTTTCAGAAAACATATAATGTTAGGAGTTTTTATATAATCTTCAGGCCTAAAATGAATTTTTAAACTTGTGCAAAAAATGCAAAAACGTCTCTGACAACGAAAGGGATTAAGGTTAAGCCCTGATCCACCCTTTCCTGAGGAGCAGCCAATCTATGCTCCTTACACTTCAAGGTCTCTCCCCTCCCTGCTAGTGAACATGGGCGGGGCTGAAGAGTGGCAGGGAGAGGAGGAGGAGATATACAGCGCAATGTTAAAAATATTAAACGTTTAAGTCGCCATAAAGTCCTTTTGTTTTTAAAAGCCCCAGACATTCCTAATATCACCTCTGATTTAAATACAGTTTTGGTTAAAACTTTTTTTTTTTTTTTTATCTGGACAAGTAGATTCTCATGAGGGACAAGTAGATTGGGGCCCCGATTTAGTCCCTCAACAAGTAGTTTTTTAAAAAAATTTCCACACCCCTTTAAAGGTTATGCTGCCCCTTTACCATGTTTTAGTTATTTTAGTACAGGTCCATGTTGCTTGTGTTTTGTCAGTTTCATTGGCTTCAGTTTTGAAATAATATCCTATTTTATGAACGGACCAAAGCTGTTCCTTAGATTAGTATTAGACTTAGTGGAATGAACATGTTATAAACAGACCTTTTTTTTTAAAGGGGTTTAATAAGAATAAGAGGACTGTGTAGTCATTTAGCAAGCAATATGCAGTATTTTAATAACCAGTTGCTCTAAGTTAGTGCACTTTTGTATGATTATAGCTCTTCATGATTTTTCTATTAAATATATCTAGATGGCTCTTAGACACGCTTGGTTTTTCATTTCTTATGGATTTTTTTTTTTGTCTCAAAACCCCGAATGTCCCTTAGTTCTGAGAGTGAAAATGAAGATGAGGTTCAAGTCACATCCACTGTACGTCCAGAAGAGATCCCCACTGTGCCAGAGAACAAGTTCTTAATGAGAAGAAGTCCACAGAGAGTTGATGAGAAAGAAGCACGAGGCAATGACAGAGAACGAGAAAGGGAAAGGCAAGTGGTTTTAGTTATTTGTTCTTTCACCAAGGATAATGGATTTGCATATGAAAAGCTGCAGACTGATAATGTTTACTGTCTAAACTGCACATCCTTAGTTGCTTTCCTGCATTATTTTTTATTTGTGTTTTGTTTTTGTGCTTTAGCAATTCCCTTTACCAGAGAAGACTTTTGGTAACGAGGTCTGGAAGAAAAATTAAAGGAAGAGGCCCCAGAGTAAGCATTTCTTTTTTAAATATGTTTTGTATCTTTTTTTTTTTTTTTTTTTTTTTCCCAAGCCAATCAATCTGCTGTGCTAGTATGTGCAATTCATGAAAATGAGAAGGAAAAATCTGCGCTAGGGCTTTGTTGGATGTTAACAAAACATAGCAGCTAGCATAATAAACACCACAAAACAATAGTGCAGCGCCAGTATAATCTTTGAAAAAAACTAGTAGAGCAGAGATGAAACACACACCACTACCAGTATGTGATCCCGCCATGGCCATCTTGGATTCTGGAAAATTTTTATTTGATATGAAGTGCCTGGTTGTCATCTTTTCATTGTAAGGGCATTTACCACATAAAATTGGTGTTTTAATTAGGATTACACTATGGAGAGCCTGTCTTTCTTGTTCATGATACTATGTCCAACTGCGTGTGTGTGTGTGTGTGTGTGTGTGTGTGTGTGTGTGTGTGTATAATGTGTGTGTGTATATATATATATATGTATATATATATGTATATATATATATATATGTATATGTATATATATGTGTGTGTGTATATATATATATATATGTGTGTATATATGTGTATATATATATATATATATATATGCACAGCAATCTGATATAATGCAGCAGTACTATCATTTGACCTGTGGTTTCTAGGAAAGCTGGATTGATGCATAAGTGCTGGCTCACCACTCTTAATTGGGGGCCATATGATCATGGTAAGCCTCCGTCTGTTGTACACAGAGGTGCTGTGTGGTTTATCATTAAGAAGTTTGCTATCTACATCTGTCATTTCTCTTAATTGAAGAACCACTGAATTCACAGTTTTTGGCTTCACATTTGGATTCCTTTGTTTTATTCTTTTCAGTTTGTGGTGACACGAGTTTGATATATTTGCATTGCACTATTGTATTGTACATATATTTTAATTTATCCTCACGCTGCACTATTGTTTTGTGAAATTCATGAAAATGGTTCATGGTTTTCTGGCAACACTCAAGTCCACTTTTTTCCACATGTTATGGCAGATACCTGAGGTGTCAAGCCTCCAAAATGCATGTGCAGCAGCGCTAAGTGTCAAAAGTATAGGTCCAATGAATCTATGAAGCAGAAGCAGGAGAGAGTTTGTCAGGTACGGCTTTCTCTTCGGCAAGGAAACAGAGAATGCGGAGTGACATTGCCACAGCTCACAAACCCATGATGCAGAGGCAGTAAATGCATTAAATTATCTTACACTGCAGATTTACAGCTGTTAGGCTACAGAACAAGAGTGTCTAAGCATGGTCACAAACAAAGAAGCACCAATTACGTGACTTCCTTCCATCAAACTTTGAATGGGCACCACATACTTTAATTCTTCACCTACCCTCTTTTCACCCTCACATGCTAAGTCAGCAAATGCACGTCTATTTTATAGGAGGAATTCAAAGCAAAAGAGATTTATTTTCAGGGCACTGCTTAGGCAAAATTTATTTTTTTGCATAGTTACATTGGTCCAGATCATTGTATGTATGCACATTCCATCCCTCACTGATATCTGTGGATGATCAGAATAGTAGCTGCCTGCTACTGCAGTGATCCACTTGGTCTTTCAAGTTCTCTGAATGGCACCTGTGCGAGTGAGCAATTCCCTGTAATCCCTATACAGGATGACAGCCACCCAGCATGTGATCAGGAAATTAGTGAGGATCACTGTGGTAGCAGTGGCTACTAACATTGATTTTCCTCTTCCACAGGGATAAGCCAGGTATGCATTGATCCCTTACATCTTAAAAATCAAAATAACTGTAATTACTGATTTGTCTGAAAAATATATTTTTTTTTTTTTTTTTTTTTTAGCGCTACCGTACACCATCAAGATCTAGATCTAGAGATCGATTTAGAAGAAGTGAGACTCCCCCACACTGGAGGCAAGAGATGCAGAGAACCCAGAGGATGAGATATTCTAGTGGAGAACGCTGGATCAAGGGAGATAAGTATGTCCTTTTAAAGTTTGATTTCAAGTATCCTTTAGGGTTGTGAAAACACACCTCCAGTTGGGTCCCTTCCCCACAGTAAGTTAAAAAAAAAAATTCCAGGATGCATACCTCAGATTTAGGTGTTTTTCAGCCAGTCATGTGACAAGCAGGGTCTATCTTCAGTTTCAGTGGTGGGCCGTCGTCACTGCTGCAAAGAACAGGACTTGTATTGTATTGTAATGCGCGAGTGCTGTTCTATGTAATGTTCCACTGTGAGCCCAGGCTGTGTGATGAAGCACCAAAAAAGGGGGATGTGAAAAGAGATTCACAGAAAAAGCGGTTACATAACGAACAGAAAGCGATACTCAGAAATTCCTCAAAAATTATGCTTTATTACAAAACTTGCATATGTAGACATTTAGGTATATGTCCTGGTATATGTGCAGCCTGATGTACACCCAGCACAGGCGTATGTATCCGTGTCCCCTGCTGGACTACATGTTTTAGGTCATACTTTGTTGTATTGTCTCATCTTGTGGTGATGGCTAACTGAGGTATTTACCTAAATGTCTACATACAGGTGAAACTCAAAAAATTAGAATATCGTGCAAAAATTCATTTATTTCAGTAATGCAACTTAAAAGGTAAAACTAATATATGAGATAGACTCATTACATGCAAAGCAAGATAGTTCAAGCCGTGATTTGTCATAATTGTGATGATTATGGCTTACAGCTCATGTAAACCCCAAATCCACAATCTCAGAAATTTAGAATATTGTGAAAAGGTGCAATATTCTAGGCTCAAAGTGTCCCACTCTAATCAGCTAATTAAGCCATAACACCTGCAAAGGGTTCCTGAGACTTTAAATGGTCTCTCAGTCTGGTTCAGTAGGAATCACAATCATGGGAAAGACTGTTGATCTGACAGTTGTGCAGAAAACCATCATTGACACCCTCCATAAGGAGGGAAAGCCTCAAAAGGTAATTGCAAAAGAAGTTGGATGTTCCCAAAGTGCTGTATCAAAGCACATTAATAGAAAGTTATGTGGAAGGGAAAAGTGTGGAAGAAAAAGGTGCACAAGCAGCAGGGATGACCGCAGCCTGGAGAGGATTGTCAGGAAAAGGCCATTCATAAGTGTTGGGGACTTTCACTAGGAGTGGACTGAGGCTGGAGTCAGTGCATCAAGAGCCACCACACACAGACGGATCCTGGACATGGGCTTCAAATGTTGTATTCCTCTTGTCAAGCCGCTCCTGAACAACAAACAACGTCAGAAGCGTCTTACCTGGGCTAAAGAAAAACAGACCTGGTCTGTTGCTCAGTGGTCCAAAGTCCTCTTTTCTGATGAGAGCAACTTTTGCATCTCATTTGGAAACCAAGGACCCCGAGTATGGAGGAAGAATGGAGAGGCACACACTGCAAGATGCTTGAAGTCCAGTGTGAACTTTCCACAGTCTGTGTTGATTTGGGAAGCCATGTCATCTGCTGGTGTTGGTCCACTGTGCTTCATTAAGTCCAGGGTCAACGCAGCCATCTACCAGGAGATTTTGGAGCACTTCACTTTTCCTTCCGCAGACGAGCTTTATGGGGATGCTGACTTCATTTTCCAGCAGGACTTGGCACCTGCCCACACTGCCAAAAGCACCAAAACCTGGTTCAATGACCGTGGGATTACTGTGCTTGATTGGCCAGCAAACTCGCCTGACCTGAACCCCATAGAGAATCTATGGAGCATTCCAAGAAAAAGATGAGACATGAGACCGAACAATGCAGAAGAGCTGAAGGTCGCTTTTGAAGCATCCTGGTCTTCCATAACACCTCAGCAGTGCCACAGGCTGATATCTTCCATGCCACGCCGCATTGAGGCAGTAATTGCTGCAAAAGGGGCCCAAACCAAGTACTGAGTACATATGCATGCTTATACTTTTCAGAGGTCCGATATTGTTCTATGTACAATCCTTGTTTTATTGATTGCATGTAATATTCTAATTTTCTGAGATTGTGGATTTGGGGTTTTCATGAGCTGTAAGCCATAATCATCACAATTATGACATCACGGCTTGAACTATCTTGCTTTGCATGTAATGAGTCTATCTCATATATTAGTTTTCACCTTTTAAGTTGCATTACTGAAATAAATTAACTTTTGCACAATATTCTAATTTTTCAAGTTTCACCTGTATGCAATCTTTGTAATAAAGCATCATTTTTTTGCAATTTCTAAGTATCGCTTGCTGTTCATTATGTAATTGCTTTTTCTGTGAATCTCTTTTCACATTCCCCTTTTTTGATGTCTGGCTTTTGGTTACTTGGCAGATAATATACATTCAGCGATACGTTAAATTTATGGTGCCTCTTGCCCCCCCCCCCCCCCCCCCCCTTTTTTACTAGTGTGTGATGAAGCACCCCTAGGGAGTTCCATTGACGACTTGTGCTAATAAGTGGTTTAATTATGCTGGGGGAAGGGAGTGGGCTTTTAATAGTAGGCCCACCCAAGTAGTATTTTCCAGTTTTGAAGGTGATATCTAGTGGGCTGGATCACCTCTGGATACTTATACCTCCTAGAGAAGGTGGGTCACCTTGTTTTTGGAAAAGCTGTTGTGCAGACCTGGGAACTGCATTGGTAAAATTGCACCACTTCAAAAACAAAAAAAAAAAAAAAAACTTTCACAGATACACTACTATGTTCTGGTGCAATATTTTTTATTTAGATATAAAGGAATTACAGCCATAATATTCCTAGGACCTAGGGTGCCTAGGACCCAGTGGCTGGGAAGGGCCATAGGGAGTGGAAATGTCCACTTAAAAATTGGGGGAACAAAATACACTATTATGTTCAAACTAAAATGCAAATAAAATGAGACCAAATACTAACATATTAGCTTTGGGTAGATTTAATCTTCGATTTCTGGGATTTCATTAGCAAATTCTCCTGGCTATGAAGCAGTCAGCTCCATCTCTATGCACTACTTTCTGTTGGAGATGCAGAGATTATTTTGTTTTGTCATTCAGCATGCTATTCTTTTTAAAACGTGTTTAAAAGGGATATGACCATAAAACAAGTAAAGTGTTCATATAAAGTCTCTTATTTCACAAATATTTTTATTTGTTGTGTAAAGTAGAAACATCTGGTTTTATGACTTGAAAAAGTAGTAATGTCTAATCTTTGTATAAGAGGTTAGGAACATTTTAGTTTTCATGGACTATTAATTACTGGTTTACTCTTTACGAGGGTATTGTGGACGATCGTTTTCATTCTTTATTTTTGTTGTCCTGACTTAGCTAAAATGACCACTGCTTAGGGCTAAGGCACACAGGCTGAATGAATGATTGCTAAATGCTACTGAATGATTGAGCCTCTTGTTGAAATTCTCATCAGTAGAAAGATTATTTGAATGTGTTTTAAATTAGTTGTTTGCATGAAAGTAGTTAAGCTACTCAAGATCAAGAGGTCAGAATTGACATTGTAGCTTAGCCTTTGGGGCTTGCAGAGCATGTCTGAGTTTTGTCTGATTTGCAGTATCAAGCTTTACATTTGGATAGAGATGGCAGAAAAATGTACACCATAATCTTGTGATAAGTCTCAGATGCAGGCAAGGACACATCTGTATTATGCTCAGATGATCTCCAGCATGGTTAAAAGCCTTTAAATGTGCAGATTTCACTGCTAATTGCTCTACAAATTGTTGATTTTTGCAGGAGTGAAATGAATGAAAAAGACAATCCAAAAAGTCCAGTTCGAGGAAGGGAGAGGAAACTGTCTGACCAAAGGGCTCCATCTGAGAGTCCAAGCAAAAAAAACGACCATGGGAAGAAAAGCAAAGATCGCAAATCAAGCAGCAAGGAAAGGGAGTCTAAGAAACATGGCAAAGATGAAAAAGAGGATAAGTCATGGAGCAAAAAAAGAGCAAAGTCTGATAGCCGGAGTGAAAGTAAGGAAAATGCTAAAAGCAGCAGAGATGCCAAGCACAGCAAGCGTGATCGGACCAGATCAAGAAGCAAGGGAAAAGGACATGAACGGGAAAGAGAAAAAGAAAAACAATCAGACAGCAAAAAAAAAGATAAAGAGAGAAGCAGAAGTAAGGAGAGAGCAAAACAAAGCAAGTCAAAAAATGAAACTTCAAAAAGTAAAAGCAAAGAGAGAGGTAGAAGTAAAAGCAAGGACAGAGCGAGAAGCAAAGAGAGAGTAAGAAGTAAGAGTAAAGAGAGAAGGAAAAGCAAAGAGAGGGGTAGAAGTAAAAGTAAGGAAAGAATAAAAAGTAAAGAACGTGGTAGAAGTAAAAGCAAGGAAAGAAGGAAAAGTAAGGAACGAGGTAGGAGTAAAAGCAAGGACAGAAAAAAAAAGTAAAGAACGGGGTAGAAGTAAAAGCAAGGAGAGAAAGAGAAGTAAAGAACGGGGTAGAAGTAAAAGCAAGGAGCAAGGCAAAAGTAAAGAACGGGGTAGAAGTAAAAGCAAGGAGCAAGGCAAAAGTAAAGAACGGGGTAGAAGTAAAAGCAAGGAGAGAAGGAAAAGTACAGAACGGGGTAGAAGTAAAAGCAAGGAGCGAGCTAAAAGTACAGAACGGGGTAGAAGTAAAAGCAAGGAGCGAGATAAAAGTACAGAACGGGTAGAAGTAAAAGCAAGGAGCGAGCTAAAAGTAAAGAACAGGCCAGAAGTAAAAGCAAGGAGCGGGCCAGAAGTAAAAGCAAGGAGCGAGGCAAAAGTAAAAGCAAGGAACAAGACAAGAGCAAAGATAGACATGAAAAAGCAAAGAGTAAGGAACGGGAATCTGTGAAAACAAAACGTAGATCCAGCAGCACAGCTGAAGAGAGAAGCAAAAGCAAAGAAAACAGAAGAGCTTCATCAAAAAGCCTGGATAATGACCGAACCAAAAGTAGAGATCGCGGAAAAAGCAAAGACAAAGAATCCAAAGCCAAGGGTCGGTCCAGAAGTAGAGATCGAAAAAGAACCCCAGAAAGGTCCAGAAGCAAACGAAGTAGGAGCCTGGGTGACTCCAAATCTCCTGATCGCGAGGCCAGTCACAGCAAAAACAAGGACTCGTCGAAAAAAGAAGTTAAAGGCTCTCCGAAAAAGTCCCCAGAGCGTGAAAGTCACAAAAGGAAGTTGTCCAGGAGCAGCAGTCCAGACAGTAAACGAACCAGAAAATCTAGCCGAAATCATACAAGTCCAGACTCCAACACAGTGCATAGCACTTACAGAGAGGACCTATCCTCCCATGGGAAAAGTGGCGACAGGGAAAAGACTAGAAGATATTCACATGATAAAGAAAACGGTAAAAGGTCCCGGAGTCGTGAAAGACATACATCCCGGTCAAAGGAACAAAGAATTAGTCAGTCCAGCCCCAACAGTGTTGACAATAAAAATGAGTAATACAGTTAGACATGTTTGGACTTGTTCGTTTTTTTTTTTTTTTTTTTTTTTTTAGACTTTCATTTGTCCAAATTTTTCTTTCTTATATAATCCTCAGCTTGGATCATTTGTATTGCCCATGTTTTAATAAACATTCGATGAAAGAATTTTAAGTGTACAACATTGTCAACAATTTTTTTTTTTTTTGGTTTTTTTTGCATTTTTGAATGGTTGAGGGTTTTTCCTTTTTTCTTTAGATTTACTTGACTGAAACGTTTTGGTTTTCCCTTAGCTCTCCAGAAAATGCATGTGTTCATGCTTTGATAAAATATTGTGGTACATGATGTTATGGCACGTTTCTAATAGCACCTACACCATACCTGTAAAAGACTATACGTAACATATTAGAAACGTTTAAAGTATGTTTACAAATATTTTTTTAAAGGCTTGGGTAAAATCTATGTATAGTATGAAATGTATTCTAAATGTTTTCTTCTGTATAAATTTAGTGTGGTTTGTTTGCTGCTCTTAATGGGGTTTTCCTGTTAATACAAAATTGAACACTCTTGATACAGCCCTCACCCCGCTTCTTTATCTGGACTGTTGGTGTGGTTTAGATTTTAGCAGGAAGAGATGTCATATGAAATCTGGCATAGCTCCCCAGTCAAATATATGCACTTTTGATTTTGTCCAGCACATTATCTCTTGAGTGCCTCTATAGATGAGGTTTGCTGTGTGGTGGAGGCTGAATTAAGGGACAGCTTTTCATAAAGTGGAAAGTCCCTTTTAAGAGAAGACCTACCCTCAAACACTCAGCTTAAAAGCAATAGCTAGCCTTGTCCTTGCAAGAAACTGCTATACCTTAATGATCGGTATGGGATTTCTCCAAGAGCAGTTTTACTGCTGAAATCTGACTTTTAAGTTGTACAAAAAGGAGGTGAATGGGATATAGAGGTCTAAAATAGAACTCTGCTCTTCTTTGAGATGTGGAAACCCTTTTAAGCTTGCATACAATTGAACCATATTATTAACTGTTGAATGAAATTTGGATATTGAGACTTTTTTGGTTACTTAAAGAACTATGGCTGTGATTCTTCTATCCTGTTTATCTGAGTAAAATGTATGTATTAGTAGCGAAGTCTGTGTCAAAGTTGTGGATAAAACATCTTACATTTTGTTCTGTTTTTGAAATGTCCATGATGCTAGTCTTCATCTGTTCTTCTTGGTTTAGATATTTTAAATATAATTCCAAAAGAGTCTAACCCTTACATCCATTTATGGCTTAAAGCAGGGGTGGGCAACTGTGGCCCTCCAGCTGTTGTAGAACTACATGTGCCATGAGGCATTGCAAAACTGACAGTTACACGCATGACTCCCAAAGGCAGAGGCATGATGGGACTTGTAGTTCACCAACAGCCACAGTTGCCCACCCCTGGCTTAAAGTATATGCACAGTGCCTTGAAAAAGTATTAATACCCCTTGAAATTTTCCACATTTTGTCATGTTACGTTGTTAAAACCTACATTTATTTTATTGGGATTTTATGTGATAGACCAACACAAAGTGGCACATAATTGTGAAGTGAAAGGAAAATGATAAATGGCTTTCAATTTTTTTTTTTTTACAAATTTCTAAAGTGTTGTGTGCATTTGTAGTCAGTACTTTGTAGAACCACCTTTCGCTACAGTTACATCTGCAAAAACTGTTGCAATTGACTGCAGTTTTCTTTCTTTTTTTAAGTGTTAAAGCCAGAAGGTTGGAATGTTAAATGAAAATAGATTTGAGGCAGGTCTGTGATTGTGGGTGTTTTTTTTTTTTTTTTTTTTTTTTTTTATAACCAATGCACATTTTCCGGTAGTGGTGATTCAATACTTTTTCCCAAGGGGTTGTAGAGAGTGAAATTTTTGCCCATTCTTCTTTGCAAAATAGCTCAAGCTCTGTCAGGCTGGATGGAGAGCGTCTGTGCACAGCAATTTTCAAGTCTTACCACAGATTCTCAGTTGGATTTAGGTCTGGCCTTTGATTGGGCCATTCTAACACATGAATATGCTTTGATCTAAACCATTTCATTGTAGCTCTGGCTTATGTTTAGGGTCGTTGTCCTGCTGGAAGGTGAACCTCCACCCCTGTCTCAATTCTTTTGCTGACTCTTAACAGGTTTTCTTCTAAGAAAAAAATTATTAAAATTAAAACCGTGTCCATATTTCATCTGTGACCATACATTCCTTCTTAGTATTGTTGACAAATCGACTAGTCCTTGGTTCACCTGTAATGTGTTGTCATAACAACCATATGTGCACCTTCACCAGTTGTGCTCTCACCTGGTAAATATGACCAAACTGTTAAGAAACACAAGCTATTTATGACCTCATTTAAGTGGACTGTGGATGGATGGGATAATTATCCTAAAGGGTTTGGATCCCCTCACTTTAGTGATCGTCCTCCATTGGTTCATGTACCATATTAAGTAATGGAACATAATGCCTTATCCTCTTTTAAAACATTTATTAGTACACTATAATGCACTCATGTAAATGCTGTAAAAAACGCTGTTAAAATACTCCACACCTTTGCTAGCAATTCAGTAGTCTATACTTGCTTAGTATCTGTCTGGCTCCTTCTGCATGAGCATCGTGACGTCAGAGCCCCTCCCCTAAATGTTGCGCCATCGGGTCACATGGCTTCAGGGGGAATTGATTGGATGATACAGCGCTCATTCTTTTATATGGGAATCATTAGGTGCCATTTTCCTGTGCTCCGCATGGCGGTAGCCATGTTTTTGGAGCCAAATTCCATATGGTAAAGCGGTGTTCTGCGTTTTGTTTAAGCCAAAACATAAAAGCTGGTTTAAGTGTAATAATTTAATACCAGCGTCATGTTGACCTCCATTGAGACCTAAACTAAGCACTCTAAAGGGTGGTGCAATTTATTGAATTTATTATAAAAACTTATTTCACATGTTTCTTGTGTCCCACACATGGCTTCTCGCAAGCTGCAAACGGGACTTTTTATGGCTTCCTTTCAACAATGGCTTTCTTCTTGCCACTGTTCCATAAAGGCCAGATTTGGGGAGTGCACGACTAATAGTTGTCCTGTGGACAGATTCTCTCAACTGAGCTGTGGATCTCTTCAGCTCCTCTAGAGTTACCATGGGTCCCTTAGCTGCTTCTCTGATTAATACTCTTCTTGCGCAGCCTGTCAGTTTAGGTGGAAAAGCCTTGTCTTGGTAGGTTTGCAGTTGTACCATATGCTTTCCATTTTCTGGTCTATCACATAAAATCCCAATAAAATATATTTGTTTTTGTTTGTAACATGACAATGTGGAAAATTTCAAGGAATTTTAATACTTTTTAAGGCACTGTAAATCCATTATTAGGTACAACCATAGTGGTGGATCACTATGGCTGTACCTGATGAGGGCACTGGATTCTGTGTGGCCTTTCACCTTGGCGCATAGTGCATAGCACTGAGTTAGCTATTGGATGCTATATGGGTCAAGGGCCGAGGTCTGCCAGTGTTAGAGCCCTGTCCCTGAAGATCCCTTTGGGTGGTATAGCCAGAATAGAGGTTTGATCCTTTTTATTCTTGCCTAAATGTAAAACATCTGCCAATGGTAAGAGAAGGATGGAAGCCCTTTAAAAATTTCTCTGCCCAGGGTGCCTAGCTCTATGCCGCTGCCAGAAAGGGAGCTTTGCTGCAACTATAGGTGATAGTTTACACTGAGGGCCAGGAATGCTACTGAAAAATGCATTTGTTGCTATTTCTCTCTTCAGGTGCCTGTGCTGGCCCTCTGCCTTGTTCCTCTTCTGAGTGTTAGTTCATTGTGATAGCAACTCTTGGTCCAGCAGTCAGCTAAGCTACTTGGATATACAGCAGCTTACAATGTTTGCTACTGGAAATCCTCTCCACAGCAGTGGAGTTCATAAGTACTGACCTGGGAACATTTTTCACTGTACATAACTGATCCAAAGCAAATAAAAGGAAAGGGTCAGATGACTTTGATAGCACAGATTCAGCCCGTGGCTCCAAGGGGGGTGATTGTTTATTTACACCGGTCCCTGTATTTCTCTAGGCACTCTGAAAGCTCATTTACTGCACACCCTTAGTCCTTTTTATCAAGATGAGAGTTTTTTTTCCACATCTGTGGGCAG